GTTGCAGGACTTTCTTTCCAACCTAATAATACTAAGAAATAACGTATATACATACTAAACAACAAATTATAGAGCTCCTCAATACTGGAAGCGCTTGAGCTATCTCTAAATGATAGTCATAATAATGCCTGGATTGAAAGAACGTCTAACAGTTACTAGCGGAATCATAATATTTGAAAACGTTTCCTAGAATCGACGTAACATTGGGGTCGCTCTCGCTTCAGCAAACAGACAGCGAAAGAGGAAAAAATTATAGATTCAGCGCAAATTATGAGGTCTATTGATGGAATCGTTTACGAAAAATTGTTGCATTCCCAACATGAATACGTCATTTGTGGTCACTAAAAACGACGGTAAAAGTTTTACGCCAGAAGTTTCAGTTTCGAGGAGTAACACAAACCTACGATGACAACGTACTGGGGATGGTCACGGGTAGATTGGGCGGAGCCACAAGAGCGCATGGAAAAAAGTGCGCCGACGGCCGCGGATTAGGCGACGCATTGAAAGTGTCGGATCGGAGCGTTTCATTTCGGAAAATAGAGACAAAAGGAGCTAGAGAATAGGATGTATCAAAAAATAGAAATGTCAGGCCATTCGTGGAAAAGGCCAAAACAACTATTGAAGGCACTCCGAAAAACAAGTAGGACCCGTCGCTCAAACAGTTTATTCGCTTTTTCTTATTTATTTATTTATCTCGAGCGCTCGAAAGAACGCGCAACACAAACTTTGTGCATATAAGGACGCCAGAGAGGAACGTGTTCACATGAAACCAGAATCAGGAACAGAACTGACAATAAGAACGAAGGAAAAAACTTGTGACAGATGTACGAATTTATGACAGATGTACGGCGGGAATTGAACGCGTGAAACCGCTTCCGGTTTTTCAAATTCTTTGCAGAAACAAACGCATTTTTTTTGTTATTTTCCATCTTATCGTAAATAATAGATCTGAAGAAAGTAATTTTTAGTTGGATAGAATCATGATTTTTTTCGTGGACGATTCCTTTAAGCTCATGATAACATGTAGAACACTGCCGCTTTTGGACTCAGATGGCTTTCGAGTGATTGGTTCAACAAAAGGGCAATTTAATAGGAACTGAATTGGTTGAAGGGATTTTTAGTGGAGCAAGTGTCGATGTTGTCATGAGTCGTGCTTATCTCCCTGAAAAGTTCCTCCATTTCCCCTTCATTCCCTAGGGGCAGAAATGGCGATGGAGCTGTCATATTGATGTGCTTTCTCGTGTTCCCAAAAAATGCTGGCTGAAATCGTAGGGCTGACACTTCGAAAGAGGGAAAGCGGTTTCTGGATAGGCCCGAAAGGAGCTCGAGAGAAACCACGCGGGGCATTTTCTGAAAGAATCGACTTGGGTTACAAGGCTTCTGTCAACCAAAGGGTGAGAGCGTAGCTGGAAAAGCACACACTTTGTGTCTTATTGGGACTAAGCCTTTTGAAGAAGATAAAGAAAGAGGAGATGCTGTGATAGTGTGCACTTGTGAGAGCTCCCAGACATCACTACAAAACGCTGAACCGCCAAGGCTCACGGTTGACAGATGTCCTGAGACCGAGATTGACACGAAGTTCTGTAACAATGTTGATATCCCTTATCTGCAAACTTCTGATAGTTCAGATGATACAGTAGTGGGACTAGACGTCGCTGATGACGGGACAGCTTTTCGAGCAGAAAAGTCGACGAAAACTCGTCAGAGGAGGAGAAGACAGTTGTCTCCAACACGTCTTTGCCCAATGCTGCGTATAATTCTTCTCATATTTTTTCCGAAATAAATATTGGGGTCGTTCCACAAATAAACGTACCAGTACAACTATAACCGCCAATTATCAATCCTCTCAATATTAGTGAATGAAACTTTTTGGTCAGGACCTTTCGGGAACCACACGCATTGAGCATCACACTTGTTCAAGAAGGGCTGAGCGAGTATGAAAGAAATGTTGCTCATATTTTGAGCCCAAGGCCATTCCCCCCACCGCCCCCCCCCCGAACAGCACTTGCGTTTAATTTATCTGAAAATGGGGCCTCAGAGAAGCACTCGTGAAATATGAAGGATATTGCTAAGGTGAATGGACGGAGAAGAACGCTACTACAGCACGCTCGGTCCCGTGATCAGATCCTATCGATTCTTGGATCAATTCTCACCCAAATTAACCGAGCCTTTCACACCCAGGACCAAAAGATAACCGGGCATCAGACGTGTACGTAGATGATAATATTGAGTTCTTATAGCTCTTAATAGCCCGCAACTAAGCCTACCTTCCGAATAATCAGCCCAAATTAGCGAAAAGTTCAATATAAAAGTTAAATGTGCGATACACCTTGGAAAACATACTATGTGGAGATCAACGTGGATAGCACGACCAGGAATTGATCGCGTTCTGCGTTCCGCGTTCTAGAACGCCCATCAAATTCATTTAGAATTTTTAGCTAAATTAATTATGCGTTCGACGCCATCCTTCGATTTGAATGAGTCAGTTTTGCATGAAAGTTCCTCATAGAACCAAACTAAAAGGGTCAAAGCCAACAAGAGCGTTAAGCCCTTCCGGTGGAGACTTCGACCGCTTCAATTCTCCTCATTCGCATGTGGATGTCTGCCCCTCTTATCTATTGCGCTCTCTCGCCCATCCTCTCTTCTTCTCCCTCGCTGTCTTGCCCTAACAAGCCGAGTTACAAAACGAGTTGCCCTTTATTAGCGTTTGTCCAACGGAATGGGTTCCTTTTCTCTACTGCTAGGCCACTTCACTCTCCTTCACTTTCGCCTTATTATGCAGGAATCATACCAGTTTGATTGTAGACTTCCAAAAACCTTTACAAAAACTACTTGGAGCTGGTGTTGCAAATGGCTGCCGTCTTAAAAAAGGAGTTCCAGAGAGTGGCGACCGGCTACGGAAAAACTTTCTGCAGCAAGGCAACTTCGAAATTGGTTGAAAAGGAACCTGACAGAGAATTTGAAAAAAAAGTGGTGAGTGACCTTTTTCAGTTGTTCCATAGAAAACCCGCCAGTGAATAGATTACTTTCGGCCTGCTCTACGGGGTGGGGAAGGGGGCAATAAGACAGTCTGTCTTCCACAATTTCAAATCGATCGCCTTTTGCTTCAACCCGAATCGCCATCTACTTAAGGAAGGGTCATGTCAAGCGAGCCCCACGCTTTTTGCAAAACGCTTTTTCGGCTCAATTTGTTAGGAAACTACAGTTTAGCCTCAGAACTATAATATGTATTCATTTTTGCTGAACGGTTATAGCAGTACCAAAAAAGAAGCATAAGGTACTGTTAATGGTTCGATCCCCCGTGGCGACTAAATTTTGCATTTGGGTTGGCGCCTACGGTTTGGTGCCAAATCGCGCTAAATATCAAAATCAGATGTCAAATTCATCGTCAGGACCATTTTGAAGCCAACAAGTGGCCGCCAACCTTGATTGCAAAATTTAGTCGCCGCGGGGGATCGAACCATCAAGGGTATCATTCACCACTTTTTTGGTACTACTAAAACCGTTCAGCGAAAACGAAACATGGTTTTGTGGTCCATACATGATCACCACGAAGCTCAACGTGCGTTTCTAAAATATGCCACAAAACCATGTTTCCAAAAAGCGGCGACTTGCCCTGGAAAGACCCCTAGGTAGAACTGAATAGTAATTTTATAAAAAAAAAAAAACTAGTGCTTCTATGCGGATGGCATCACGAAAAAGTTGCGCCGGAAACTTGGTTCACTGGTCGTGCTCAATGGGGTCGTGGACGGATCCCATACCATTGGGACGTTTTTTGGTGAGCGGGTTCCGAGGGGTTGCATATCCAGAGCTAATTTATCTAGGAAATTATCTAACAGTGAGTCGATTCTAAGAAATTTTGTAAGAGCTCCAGGCTGGAGCAGTTACGGTAGCTTACGTTAAGCCTCAACGTCGATGGCAGATGACGTCATGTTCTGAACGACGCGTGACGGGTTACGTGAGGACGCGTTTCCGTATCTACTTGAAAATGGGGGATTGAGGGAATTCTCTACTGAGAAGGCTGTTCTTCTTTTTATGAAAGACAGTTCCGTCAATGACGAGACATCTCTGCCGACGCATAAAAAAAAACGCTAGAGCGACTGCGGCCAAAATGTTCCCCCTCCCTTGCATAAGACGATCAAGATGCAACCCTAACATTTTATCAGGCTACTTCGGCACTACTTCGAATTTGATTTCTAAGACAGTATTTACAAAAAACCCTCTGAATGAACCTTTTGACCTCTGGAAATTTACGAAACGCGATAAATTGTCATGAGTGAGTTGGTCGAACGAAGAATCTTTCCGACCTTAGCGAAGCGGGTGATTCGTCTTAGGTGGGGAGCGGGAGGGGGGGCATTGAGTCTGTTGCAGTACACGCCCGCCCGAGGGTTTAACCTTAACCCCTTAACCCGGCGTCGAGATTCGTCGCGGTCCATAAAGTCATCAAATTCCTTGAGTGGCAGGACTACTCGTGCCTTGATGAAGGTTACTCACTCACGATTAGACCCTTGAAGCAGCTCTGTTCGTGACCGCTGCCATTTTTGCACCTTTTCAGTGAACGCAGTGTCTGCGTCCTCTCGCACGACGCACTCTCTCACGCATTCCCTCCCGTCGTCGCATTGTATCTCTCCATCTAACCACGCTCGAGCTCTCAAGGAAGGAAAGCCCACAGTTTCAGCAAAGTATGGTTCTTTTTGCTTTTTCCCTTACTGACGGTCTTCTTCGCACTAGTTGTTTCATCTTACGAGATAATATACCAATATGGGCGCTATCGCAAGATGTGGAGGCATTGTTATGGCAACGCATTCAAAACCACGTAAACCATTATTAAGAACTCCTTTTTATTAAGAACGTGACAAAGTTTTAGGGAGCAGTGGAGAGAATCTAGAGTGCATGAACAATTTTCATTTTCCCCGAAGTTTCTGCACCCTCTTCGGCCCAGTCCTAGATAAGGCCCCCAGATCTTACGATAGATCCCCAATATGACAGTCGAAAAATACCTATAATCTGATTGATCAGCTCCATCCATCCCGTCTCAGCCGTATAAAGTCGAATAGCCCTGCATTATTGATTTGCCGATCAATGCTTTTCTCAAGGTCGTCCCTCCTTGACATTGAAATGGATCAGTATTTCTGCAGCTGCTAAAGAATCAGGTTGTGGGAAACTTTCCCGGAAACCTATAAACCGCTACAACTGGACGAGTATTCACTTGGCCCCATTCGAATGGGAATGGCGTCCCTTCAGTTGCACTTCGGCGGTAATTTTCCAAATTTACGAGCGGAATCGTTATTATGGATGTCGCCTCTTCGGACAGTGGAATGGCCATATTCCTCGTTGAGGTGGATCCGGTATCTGCTTGAGCCTCTCATTCCCCAAAAAATGGTCTCATTCGAGCCAAGTGGCTCAATCACCTAGCTAAAAACCCTGAGGATCTGGGTCAGAAAGGCTTCGGTAATTGCAATAATGGAACGGATTGATCGAACTAATCAGTGTAGAGATTGGAGAATTAAAAGAACAAAGCTTCTGGCATCAATGAGTACTTTTTGGGCGCTATCGCAAGATGCGGGGGCATCATCTAGGACTAAGCCTAGGAGGGGCAATAACTCGTGGAGACGGTGGAAATTGCTCGCGCACCTTTCAGTCTCTCCTCCCATGCTTGAGGCTTATGATTAGCCCATTTTTGAGAAAAGGGAGATATTCTCACGCGGTTTGGAGTCTATTTGCTACCAAAATGTCCCGTGTCTTGCGGTAGCGCCCCTTTTGGAATGTACTCTCATGCACTCCCATTCGGGATCGTTAGGGCACTTTGGATAGAATGTTGGGCCACACAATCACTAGTGGGGTTAGCCGATGTGCAAGTAAGAGCTTTTTGCCCTCCAAAAGAAGTCAGCTATCCGATTAGTCGACTCCGTAGGAGTAGAGGGCTCGCCTATCCTGAACAGGGTCCGGGTTCGATCCCCCAACCTGCAGGGGAATGTTGGCGCAATTTGCCGCTACACCACCTCTACTCTCGAAACGGAGGCCACAAATATCAGTGATACAAGAGCCAAAAGTCAATAAGGGATCGGAAGCTCCGACTTGCGAACACAAAAAAGCGATCACATCATTAAGCACTGGTCAATTGGGATGCAAAGGCAATCCGGTGATGTACATCAAGATCATGTTGGGTTCTTTTTCGATTTATGAATCTTCTGTGATTCAAAAACCATAAGGAAACTCACGACGTTCGAAAAAATCCCCTACTTTGAAATTTGCTGAGGAGAAGATTATGTTCTGTTCGTTCTCTTCGAGCCTATTAAGTGGTGTATTCTTACTAAAACAACTAAAATAATTATTGAATAAAAAGGAAATATTAAATTTAATAAAAATATATTAACTAACAAGCTTGAGCTACAATACAACAGTAACGAAAATGCCGAGGTTTCGAGAGAGAGAGAATTTGGACCTTATTTAGCGGCTTTAGCGACGGCGTTGAGGGTTGCATCTTTACTGAAGAGGTTGCAGCTTACCAGGAAGTCTTTCAGGGCGTGACGAGCTTTTTGAAAACGGTCTTTTGCATGATATAGGGGCAGATGCGGGAACCACAGAACCATGTTCAATTTTTCCTGAACGGCCCTCTGAATACCAGAAAAGGAGGTCCCTCGATTCCTCGTGGTAACAAATTTTTGCATTTCGTTGACGTGCCAAAATTCGCGCAAAATGGAGTTAGAACCAACCAGAACAATCAGAACTCCATTTTGCGCGAATTTTGGAACGTCAACTCGAAATGCAAAAATTTGTCACCAAGAGGAATCGAACTAGGGACCCCCTTTTCTGGTATTCAGAGGGCCGTTCAGGAAAAATTAAACATGGTTCTGTGGTCCCCGCATCTGCCGTCCCCGCATCTGCCCCTATATCATGCAAAAGACCGTTTTCAAAAAGCTCGTCACGCCCTGAAAGACCTTCCTGGTGAGATCCACAAATGACCAGACGCTAGGAATGGGGAGCGGAGTAGCAAGGCATCGTTACGAAGGAAGAATGAGAAGGGATTCTCAGCCCCAGATTTACGATTGCAACGATGTCGTCCTGAAAGAGGACGTGAAGAGCCACGCAGAGAAAATTTGGCGCAAGGCGATATTTCACACAGGCAAACCGTGAATGGATCGTTGGCGTATTTACGAGCTGACTGCCCTGAAGGTCATTCGTGAGCGAGTCATCAACGAAGGAGTGTATACTATAAGTGGTTCTAATACCGTTGGAACATTTACGGCCGATATGGTCCACATCGCTGTCTCGTCAAGTGGAACTGCTAATTGCTGAGTGTCCAGTCGTCTCCAAGAGGTTGAGGTTGTTGCCAGCCGCGGAGCGACAATTAAAAAGAGTTACAACGAGGATCGAAAAACTGTTCCTTCACTTAGTGCCGCTCTGCCTCGCACAGCCGAGAACCAACTTTTAGAGTGAGGCGAAACAGCTCAGAAGGTGAGATAAATTGATTATAAATTGGTAGCAAAAATAAGAGGATAGAAGGATAGAAGGATGAGAGCTTGGCGCTAATCGAATCCATTTTGAGGATGCGGCCATGCATTTCGCAGTTCCATTTCAGGATCGCCAGTGCAGTTTTATGGAACCTGGCTATGGCAGGACACTGACAGGCTTGGTGACTCCAGGAAACGCACTTGATCTTGGACGCCACGCCATGCCACTTGTACCTGTTTCCGCCCCGCAGCGCACACAGAGGATAGGAATTGTTCGCGGTTCTTGAAAAGTCGACCTTTTAGTGGGTACTTTTACGCAAAAGCTGGCTGTGCCAGAATCTCTTCGGATCTCGCTCATGCCAATGAAGGCGATCAAGAAACCCAGGTCAGCCGTTGCAGTTAGCTCCATTTTTAAAGGAATTGCAATCCTGACCTCCTTTGCGGAGGTCCAAACCCTCCTCCACAACACCAATTGAGACTACAGAGGCTCCCGCAGGCACGACCCCACTATCACGAGTTCTCCCCTACCCACCCACCACCCTCGCCATCATAGACAGTTATCTAGTAGTATTTGCTACAGACACACAGTCGATACACTACACTCGCCCACTTCCTAACCTAGAGTAGTCTAGCTGAGTGAGGGGGGGGGGGGGAAAGGGGAGGAGGCTCCAATTATTGTGTCGAATTTTGTTGATAATATCACGCTACTTTTCAATGAAATTTCCGACCACGTTCAATACAAGCCCTCTTCAACACCTCCGTTCCCACTTCTCCAATGAACAGTTCTCCTCACTCAAACGTACAAATTGCGACCCCCTCCAGGGTCAACCGTCCGTTGGACAAAGTCCAACGCGACGACGAGAGTAATGCCGAGAGTGAACGTACGCACGGAGACACAGACGGCTCGCGGGTGGCGAGAGTGAATGCCGGCGCGGAGAGCGGTCAACATCGGTCCAACGTCGCTCCAATATCGGTCCAACCCTGCCCCCATCGCTCCCAGAAATCCACACGTGACCCACTCGTTCGAATCAGTGCGAAGAAGCTGACACTGCGGCCCGAAGTTATACGAACTCTTATCTTGAGTGTACGGCTCCCTTGATCCAACCTAAAAACCGTATACCGGAAGATCTATTTATGGTAATTATTATGGTTAGTCAATGTACACCCTAAGAACTTGTACCATTAGACCTATTTATAGTAATTATATGGCTAGTCAATGTAGCCTCTACTTCGGAAACGAGAAGTTCCTCAAGTGCAGACACACACCACCTAAATTTACGCACAAGATATGCGTTCTTTCTCTTTTTTCTTCTCGTCGTGCTGTGGGGTGTAGTCTGCACCGACGCTTCCTCGTGGTTTCCGAATAGGAGAGTACATTCAACTTGTATATTCTTCCGAGAAGTATTGATTATATCAAGGTATTCAAGGGATTGTCTTTAAAGGGCAAGAGCGTACAGACAACAAACTGATCGCCCGCCCTGAGAATTGTTTAACTCTAGGCCACTGCGAGAAGCTTAGCGCAGAATAAAAAAACAACGGTTCGCAAACAAGGTTGGGGGTTTCACCTCGCTTCGACTGTGTGGGCCCAGTCACCTCGGGTATCGCAGCGCCACAGGCTAGTGAACGCGCCGATCAACTCTGTGGCTAAGCGGCTAAAGTTGGACGTTGAGGAAGCAGCAGCTGGGGTAGTCAATCACTGGGCGGGGACGGACGAGGCATCCAAAGGACGGGTAAGACCTTGCTATATCGTTGTGGGCACCACCTTTACGAGAACGTGTCACTTATCGGTCCCTTGGGGCTCAGCCTTCATCTATATGTAAGGAGCGGTTATCCTCCTCATTCCAGGATCCGATTATCACGCACCAGCCGTTCAAGATGAAGCCTCATCTGCATCACGAGCCTGTCTACCCTCGAGGTGGAAGTAGTGAGCGCAAATGGACCTTCAGATGCAGGAGAAGGCAAGTGGAGAAATTGTACCTAAATGGCCGCTCGCTTGATTAGGCGACTATTAACTGCAGAGAGGCAGTGAGGCCAGGCGGCAATGATACCGTAGCGATGAGAAACTGCATAGAATGCGAGGGCTGGCAGTGGGGAACGATAGGCAGAATGAATGATAAAGTTAAAAGGTGGGCGGACTTGCCACCCGATATGGGACGACTATAGCGTTCGTTCTGGGGCATATGGCCGCGAAGCGATGCGTGTTCCATCGTAGGGGATGGCCTGGCCCCTGTTAACCCCGTCGCGAGATTTCCCTCACCTAATCGTGGGGTGTGCCTATCTTGGCACGGACTTGGTCCTAGTGTTATTTACCCTAACATTGAGTAATAAAAATTTAACGATAGTAAAAGTACGATGCCAACAAAACAGAAGGGCAGAGGATAGTAATAGAACCAGATGGGAATTGAGAGAGCAATCAACATGCAGCGAACCGAGCAGGTGTAAAGAGGCATACAAAAAGGGTCTAAGCCACTGAAGGAGCTAAAAAGACAGCGCGCGTTGTGCTAAATCGTAGTTTGAGAGAAACCGAAACTAGAAGCCATAGAAGAAAAAATTCTTCATACAAATAATGATTAGT